CCCAAAACCAAAAACCCTAAACCTAACAAAACTACTTATTTCTTATCACCGATGTCATCATTCCCTACCACAACCCAATCATCTAGAGAATCTTTCTCTTCATTAAGACCTTTCTTCGGAACTTGAACTTGATTATCTGTTTTCTTTCTGTATGCTCTTTTGCCTTTAGTCACATTATTAAGTGTAAGTATCGGACGAGATGTACAAGGACTCTGCGGATTAACCAACAACTTTGATGAATCTCCGAATACTCGATCTTCACCTTCGGTTTTAAGCTCTCCAAATATGTCGTCGATTTCGGACAATCTCATAGGAGGAGAATTATTGTTGAGTACGGCAGGCATATCAAACTTTGAAGTCTCACCGTTTAGGTATTGATCGAATCTCTTGAAAGTCTCTTTGAAGTCTTTCGCTTTCGACATGGTTTGTTATCTTGATGATTCAGTTAACTTTGTCAATGTCTAATAGGAACTCTGTCTAATATATATACTTTTTTGTTTATTTTGTGCGGAGTTAGAATTGTTAGACAACTAGAATTGCGGTTGGAAGAAACGTTTATCCTTTTACGAAAAAAGGTAAATTTCTTTTATTTTTCCCCTTTCACTTATATGCAAATTGATAATTTCTTTCTCTAAAAATATATAATTATCAAGAGACAAAGAAAGTTATGTAATTCACGTTCAAAAATAAAAAGGAAAAGGAAAAGGAATTGTGTAATTCTTTGAATTTTTTTTTTTAATTTAATAATCTAAAGGTTCTAGACCGAGCATATGCATCCTCTGGACCGGACCTAAGAGAAATTGAACTAAGATTTTATTCATTAGAATAGAACCAATACCTTCTTGGTAATTCTTTCGATTTAAAGATACATGAAAATGATATTAACAAAATCTGAAACTGGAACCTCACAAAAGCAGAATTTAAATTCCCAAGTTGATGCCATTCTCGGTTTACAATTACAAACCTTGATTAAGGACTTGTTTGATAGACATTGTAAAAGGATTTTTGTTTTACATGTCATTGAAGACCATAGACGAGCAAAGCTCCAACAGCTCCAAGACCGGCCAATAAGCCAACAATGACACCGATCGGAGGCAATCCTCCTCCTATGGCTTTCCCTGTGTTCACATCATACCTCGCAAACCTCTTCTTTGGTGCTATACATTGAGGACATACATATGTATCAGGCTGCAAAAGAAAAAACCGAGAAAACAATCCCAAACTTAGTTATAAAATCTTAAAGTAAAGGTGGATGTAGAAACTAGAAACCAAACCAATATAGGACAATAAGAAGCTGTGATCTAGAAATGTCTGGGGACAAAAGTGAAAGATTCAGACTCACTTGTTCATCAAAAGGTTTAGGTAAAGTGTATATGAATCCACAATCAAGACAAATGTGAGTAGCTCTTGCCTGCAAAAAGAGAATCATGATGTTAAGCCAAATCAATCAGTTAAGCCTTTTCAAAAAGGGTTATATACGATACGAGTACGACAAGCCAATCTCATAAAGAAGCAGAGAACTATACTAACCTTTTGAGTCTCGGTTAACTTCCTCCCAAACCGCGGAGGAGCAGGACGCTTATTTAGTTTCTTGACATCAACTTCTGCACCTCTGTGTATGATCAGAGATCGTAAATATTGCATCACAAAACCAATCAAGAACCTCAAAAAGCATCAGAACAAATACTAATCTATGAGGATTAGTTTTGCGAAAATTTAAGACGATAACATAGGAAGAGAACTCAACCTACACATCAAGAAGACTGTATCAATCATAGAATTAGACCATGGAAATAGTTGATAACTTTTCACTGAACTTTTTGTACCCAAGATTCAGAGGAAACAGATCACACACACATCTGCTAATGCTATAGCTTTGATCATCTCAAATTAATCCCTTTTCAAAAAGCAGAAGCCACATTCAAAATCAAACACACACACACGCAATCAATCACCTGCTGACAACAAAGTAGACAGAATCAGGTTTTGCCTGAATTGCGGTTTTAGTAAACCCAAGCTTATCTGCAGGCCAAAGTTCATCACCAAAGAAGCTGCTTGTGTACACAACTTGATCCCCAGCTTTAAGCCCTGCTTTTGCTGCGTTCCCACCTCCATCAACACCCTGACAAAAACCCCCAAAATCAATCAAACTAACATATTTACAAGAATGCCACTCCATTGCAGAGGGTAGTAAAAAAAAGACACTCACAGTGATGACAACTCCACCGCCTTGCTTCTGTCCTAGAGTCAGACCCAAAGGCTTGTCTACTTCAACCTCTATTGTCTTGGAAGCTGCTGTTCTTGCTTTGATTTCGAATCTTCTCGACCCATTTAACCCTCCTCCGATTCCGATCTTTCTCTCCGAGACAGCGAAGATCTCTGATACACTCTTCTTTGAATCTTCCAACGAAACTCCCTGAAACCCAGTTTTCTACACACACAAAAACAAAATAAAGATTCATGCTTTAGATGAAGCTAAGTCCAAATCACATTCAATCGAGAAATTAAAGTCGACCCTCCATTGGAAAAAAAAACTTGTAACTGAGAAGAAGAGGAACCTGGGAATATAGAGAAGCAGAGGAATGGAGTTTGGGAGATGGGTTTGAAGTTGAAGCAGTTTTGGTGAAGAAGGAAGAGACAGTAGTAGCTCCTGAAATCGTACCAGACGTTGCCATG